AAAGGAAAGAACTTCGGCTACAAGTTTTCGAGTGTTTAATTGTTGAGTAATAAGAGAGAATGTAATACTATGTATACATGTAGGATGTGATATAGCTTCTTGTGCACCCCACTATACGTGCAAAAAAAAAGAAAATATGAATTAATATATTTTAAAATTTATAACTAGAAAAAATATATATCATACTCGGCAGTTTAATAATGATTTTAAACACTTGAGAATTTCATATTCCATCTGATAATCAATTTCTCGCCTAAAATTAAAATAAATAAATAAATAAATAAATTATATATAAATTATGATATAATTAAAAGGTTTTGATCTTAAATACTAACTTGGTCAGTTTCCGTGTAATGCTACTCAAATGATTTGCAAGAACTTCTAAACCTTTAGCGTCAATAAACGACCTCACCCATCTAAAGAATTATCAGAATGGTTAACCATAATCATTTAATAAAATTACAATACGTTACTACGCACTTTATCGTTAAGGTCCTTAGAGAAACACCAAGAGAATTTAGATCTTCGATAGTTATCGCACCATCCAAAATTTTTTTGAGATAGTATTCGGGTGTATTTTTGTCATGTGAGGATGTTACTACATTTGTATTACTTGACAGTGAGTTCTATGTAAGGAAAAAAGAAAAAAAATGAAATGAAATAAAATAAATAATAAATAACAATATAAATGAATCAAAAAATACCCCTTCTTGAATCATATCATTTTTTACAAGCATCCATTTTTTATCTACTGGAATGGCCAACATTTGTTTTCTCTGAGAATCTGAGAGTTTCCTTAAATCTCTTTTATTCTATTTAGAAAGAAATGAATAATTAATATAATAAAATATACGAATATATTGTATGTAATAAACTCATACCATTAAATCTAAAAACAAATTTTCGATTTCATCATCGGAAGGCTTGGAAGGTTCCTTATTTCCACCAAATGTTTCATTAACAACTTTACCAAACCAGTCAGGAGAAAAAACAACTGATGTCCTTGAGGAAGATTCTCGTGTTGATGATGAAGAACTGTCATGAAAAATATTGGTTAATTGCGAACCATGATCTTGCGATTGGTTTCTTGAATGGATTCCTGAAATATCTGGAAAATATTAGCTAAAATTGGACATTCATCGCAATTCTAAAAGAATTGTGTAAAATTATTATGCTTGTGAAATAGTCTTTGATAATTACTAGAATTACTAGGAGGAGGCTGTCCAGACGTTTGATTTGGTGGCCTAGATTGAACAATTGGATTGTTAACGTCCAAAGGTTGTTTTGGATGTTTTTTCTTTTTTCCAAAAATTGGAAATGCTGACTTATTTGACTTATTCATATTTAGACTGGCGAAATTAGAATAAGTAAACGCGATTGAATTCTGTAGATCTCAAAAAATCAAGAGTAAATTTCATTTATATCCTAGATATTAACCAGTAACGTAAATGTAAATATATGAAAGAAAGGATAGTGAAAAACTGAAAATGTTTTTTTTTTCACGAATCCTTGTTGACAGTAGTTTTTTGTAGCAAGAATGAAAGTCGAGGCAACAAAACCGTCAATTAGAATGTTGAATCAGAAATTAAAATTTCTATTTTAGACATTGTTCCAACGGCCGCTTGTAGATCTATACCAAATTCTTATCAATCAGTGTAATGTCAAATCACATGCTTATTCACCATGACGATCACTTATAAAATCAGTTGGGCAACACAATAAATTTGATCTTTTAGATGATTCTAAAACAGTAAAACAAAGATTTGGTTTTATATTTAACTTTTAAAGAGTCACAAATATTTATGCGAATTATACCAACCATTATATTATAAAAGTATCACAATAAAATTATAAAAAACATATGTTAGCTTTAATAAACAATAAATTTATTTAAATTCTTAAATGGGTTGTGTAACTAATTATTTAAAAAGTACTAAATTTATAAATCATAAAATGTGAATTGAAATATCAAATGAATCTAAAATTTAAAGTAAATCAGTTTCAAATAAGAATTTCATATTTTTTACCTTATGTTTAACTATAGTTTCAATATGATAAAAAAATATTTTTTTTTATATAAAAAAAATCTAATTAATATAGTTTTTTTATTTAATAAATAAATTAAAAAAGACTAAAGCATTTATATTAAGAAATATAATTTTTTGAATTTAAAATTAATAAAATTATTAATTATTTTAAAAAAAAAAATTATTTATTTTATAAAAGATAAAAATCAGAAAAAAAAAATATTAAATTTAAATATAAAAATTAAATTCAAGAAATAAAGATAACAATTAAAATAAAGTTAATAATTCAAAAATAATTTAAATAATTAGTTTAATATAAAAAATTTTTTTTTAAATAAAAAGAATATTATATTAAATTATAATAATTGAAGAAAATATATCTATATAGATTTAAAAAATAGGTGATAAAAAAAAGCTAATATTTTTTAAAAAATAATAATTAAATTTAATTATAAGATTTTTAATTTTCTATAAATCTGCATAAATTCAAAATATATATAAAATTTAAATATTAAATAGTAAATAATTTAATTATATTTGTGCTAAAAATTAATAATACATATATATTTTATATGTATTTTTTCTATTATATAAATAAAAATTATAAAATAATAATTTGTTATTTTAATATTATTAATATCAAAAATATTAAATATGAATTTATAAATATAAGATGATGATCAAAAGAAGCTTAGCTTAATTATAAAAGTTTATTAATTTATCTTTTAGGCTATAATTAATTTTTGCAAAAAAGTTTCTAATTGATTTAAATTAATTATGTAATCTTATGTATTTATAATATTTTCATTAAAATTTCTGTATCAAATTTTTATTTTTATGAAATATCATATAATTAACTATGACATCTTTGTCATATATTTAGGGTTGATAAAAGTCCTAATTGGTACTAATTGATCCTAATTAATTTTAAAAAAATTATTAGTTTTAAAAATTAAATTTTTTTTAAATATTATCATTATATTCAATTTTTTAATTAAAGTTACTTATTAAAATAATTTTAAATTTCTTTTTAAAATTTAAAATATCTTTGAAATTTTAGTTTTAGGACCCTAAGTCCTAGGATCAGGTTCTAAAATAAGTATATTTATTATTTTTAAAGAATTTTTTTATTTTAAATTAATAAAATAATTGATATATAATAATTATTAAAAA